GGTGGTGCTCATGGTCTTTCTTCCCCGATCGTACCCAAGCTCCCGAGCCGAGACAACTCCGGTGATGACGGACATGTGGCCTTCGGCACCGAGTCAGGGTTTCCTAAATTCCCCATAAAAAATATTTAGGTGGCGACTCTGTATCTGGCAAAGCAGTCCATGTTTGGCACTTCTTTTCAAAAAATCTGTTTCTTAAAACGATTTGCCAGATTTGGACTCTTTGGTTCAGATTAAGAGCAAACAAAATTCGAGTCCGAACTGTAGCGCGGGGCCCCACGCGGGCGCGTCTACAGCAAGGCTCCAGAAGTTTTGCAAAGGTACAGTGAAAAAACTGGAAGCATAAATTCTATGCTCGAGTGAGCACTTCATTGCTCAAGCAATCTCGCCTGCAATAGGCAAGATAATGGGAGCTTCGCATCTACGCTCAAGCGACTGAATGATCACTCAAGTGGTCATCCAGAACGGATTGTTACATGGCGAAACTATGGGCCTTGTGCATTGGGCTCCAATAAGCATGGAATGAAGAATAGCTAGTCGCTATTACTGAAACCGACTCATCAGAAGTCATCCATGATGTTAATGGATCGAGCAGAGCGAACCCAAATTTTAATGTGTCAAGAACTTTGGGAATCTCCTCTCGCGTGATTGGAAATGTCACCTTCAATGGATTGGGCAAGAAGTCAATGCTTGTGTTGATTCCTTAGCCAATGGAAGCCAGGTATTTGCAACTTCTCAGCAAATTCTTCGAACTCCTCCAACCTTTATCCTTCCTCTGATCGTGCTAGATCGGTTGTTATTAGCACCCCTAATCCAGTTACTTTGTAGTTTTTTTTTTTTTTTTTGGACTTTTGCCCCCATATGTAACCAAAAAAAAGAAGAAAGAAACTAGATAATCTTCCTTACATTAGTCACATTATTGACATTTAAAATTGGGAAAATTACAAATTGGTTTAAGAAAATAATCACTCATTCATTAAGATAATGAGAAAATTTATGACTTTAATTATTAAAATTGATAAATTATTTCACTAATTTGTAATTATTTTGAGAAGATTCCATTGAATTGTAATGTTTTGTAAAAAAATTTAAAATTTTAATTGTTAATATTTAAGCTTTGTTTGGCATAAATTGTTTCAGTTCTGCTCGAATAAGGCTCGCCACAAATGGCTTAAATGAGTTGGAATCTGTTATTGTAGGGTTTGACCCAATTGCCCCAAGTCAGCATGAAACCCACATGTTTACAAAAGAAAGAAACATAAGAGAGATGAGAGAGAGGGGGGAGAAAGAGAGAGAAAGGACCACGAAGTTGAATGTGAGAACAGAGTTGTGTTGCCTCTGAAGTCGAGCGACCAACCATGGTATTTACCATCGACCAGCAACCGTGAACCACTCTCTATTTCCTCTCGATCAGTGACCTTCTTCTTGTTGTTAGGACCTTGTTGTTTTCATTCCTCGTTGTTTCTTCTTCATTCTCTTTCTTCTCTAATTAGGTAAACTCAAAGAAAACGCAAATTAAATTTCTGATTCCTCTTTGTCTTTCAATTAGCTCTCAATTAGTTCTGATTTCTTTGAATAGATTTATGGGTTTGTGTGATTTTGCTTGTATATGTGTTGGGTATGATGGGTTTGTGATGAGTACCACTTTAATTGATTGTTGCTATTTCATATTGATGCCATAATCATATTATTTTTTTATTTCTTCTGTTCTTAAGCTGGATTTTTTTTTTTTATATTTTTTCTGTGATTGAAAGGAATGCATCTTCAAAACCCCTTTAACTCCTATAATCTCTCTCCATTGAACATATTTAATCCTGAATTTATTAAAATCTGGTACCCCATTTGCTTTTATATGGAAAATCTATTTACATCAAAAAGAAAAATGTGAAGCTTGGCAAGAATTTAGTATGCTGTTAGTGTGTTTTTTATTTAAATTTTATGGGTATTTATTTCTTAAGTATACAAAACCTGAAATCCTGAATTGAAAATGCATTGTAATGGGGTGAGACTTAGTTTTTTTGTGAAATGAGAATGAACCTGTGTTCTGTATATTTATGTTGTTAAGTGAATTGAATATTAACTCTTTTTTATTGTGATGTTTTGGTTGAAAAGGTGAAATGAAAAACTAACATAATCAATTAAACACACAATGTTTTCTAATGTAATGAAAACAAACAGGTAATTTGTGATGTAAAGTTATGTGACATGAAAATGAACATGTATTGACAACTAAACACTAACTGAATTAAACAAATTCATCATAGATAAACCATTGGCAATGAAAAAAAAATAGTAAGAATATAAACTAACATTCAATTGATCATATAAAATAGCAGCAGCAACGGTCCACAAAACAAAATCCCACAAAAGCAATTGTCTTTCTCTATTACCCTTGATACACAAACAAAACAAAAGAAAAATTCTTGTGCTGCTACCCTTGGTTGATTGGAATATGGTGAGTGGGCACTAGCCTACTATCCCTACTTGACTGATTGGAATTTGGGTGAATTGGCACGGCCTTGCTTGATGGAGTAGGCTTTTGCCTTGGCATTGGCATGCTAGATGTGCTTGACTGAGTGCACTTGGCCTTCTAACCTGCATGTTCAAACCAAGAGTATTCATTATTCCATTGTAAACTTTTATTGTGAAATACTAGAACTGAATTTAGATTTCAAAATTCCTTAGGATTTCAGATCCTTTAACAAACTATAACTAAATTTACTAATGACCAAACCTTTGAATTACTAAATAGCATGCACAAAATTAATCAGAATTCATGGAATTACAATGTCAAACACAAATTTATACAGAACTCTGAACCCAGCAGCTTATCTATTGGTCAAGCACTTAAGGTAAGAACGGTAAGCATTCTTTATCATCAATGTTTACTTTGAACATTTTTGTTTTATTTCAACTCACAAAAGAAAATATATATAAAGATTTAAGACCCAGAAAAGGAAAACTATGATGCCTTTCAATTGAAATATGCTCAATATGAGTGAAAAATTCAGAAACTTGTTCTAATGGAGTCTAAAGCACATTTGAATATAATAATATGCTGTAAGATTCAAACTAGAAAATAATTATTTGAATCTCTTAATTTGAGACACAAATGATGAGAACAAATTAAGATTCAAACTAGGAAATAATGGAGTCTAAAGAACTCTGGATACGGACATATACCAGTTGTTAGAAGTTGAAGATACGAATCAAAAGCACAAAAATCCAAACAAAGGGTAGATGCATAGACCCTTTACGGATTACCCAAAACAGGACCAGAAAGCATCAAATTCTACTTGAATTATACAAGAACTGAAACGCGTAGAGTCTCTAAACAGTGCTCCTAAATTGGGTTTTTGATAGAACCTTGGAGAGCATCAAATGTTTGCTTAAATTCTCCAAAGAAAAACCAAATTCGCCAAATCGGTACTTGTAGAAATGGTATTGGAAGAATCAAATTCCTATTTTGTAGATCACAGACCAATTTACAGAGCTAGCAGGCTAGAGATAGAAAGTAAAAACCCTAGTTTCAAAAATTAAAGGCAAAATCCAAACCCAAACAGTCATAATTTATGATTTTGAACAGAAATTGAAATCAAAACAAAAACCCTAGTTTTGTGATATCGGGTTTACTTGAGATTCTTGTTGTTCTGGTTGATAATGAGGAGTAACTAACCAAATCTCCGGTGTCAGTTGAGATGTGTCGGCTCCAGTTGCTCAGTGTTAAGTGTGAGCGAAGAAGAGGGATGAGAGAGTGTGTTTTGAAGAAGCGTCGGTTGAGATGTGTCGGCTCCGATTGCTCAGTGTCAAGTGTGAGCAAAGAAGAGGGATGAGAGAGTGCATTTTGAAGAGAGGAGAGAGAACAATTATCACAATGGGTCTGGTCTGAGAGAAAGATAGGGAGGAGAGAGAAAACATGCATATGTTTTTTTTTGGAGTGGGTTTTGGAGAGAGAGTGGTTGCCAACGCTTTCTATCAAATTCAGGCCATTCGAGCCATAAATTTCGAGCTATCAGGCTTTATTCAAAACCTATAGGGCGTGACAAATGGTAACAGAGCAGACCCTGTCCAAACCTAACTACTTTCCTTGCATGATTTTACTTCTAGTGTCTTTGTACTTAGTAGTCTACGTATTTTCATATCCTTTTTTGCACTTCTATTGCCTCCAAAATCATCTTTTGAAAGACAAGCTTAGACTGAGCAAGCACTGCTAATGGAGGGTTTTTTGACAGGTATAGAAGTGAATGGAATCGATCAACGAAAAGTACACATAATGGGTGTTTGGGAAGTTGCTATTTTAGTAGGCTAAAATTTTTGTGTTTGGAAAGATGATTGGATTTTCTTGCAGTTGGATGTGACGTTTGTGAGAGAAAAAGTGAAATGATTATGCGTTTGAAGTGACATTTTGTCTTATTGGCTATTTTAGCCTATTTTATCTTTTAGTGCTATTTTAGCCAAAAAAGCTAAAAAGCCTTCTTCCCAAACACCCCCATAATTTAATCTCCATTAATGAAATCCACAGAGGGATAGAGTAACTAGAAACCTGACTTCTGAGTACAAAGTGAACCTTTAAAGTTATTGGGTCAAATTTTAACCGCCAAACTAGTACCCCTATTAGTGGAATCCATCAACTAAACATGAAAGTAAATTTTAAACGATGTGTAATTTACAACAAATTTTGGCAAAATACCCTAATTCCATAAGAATAATATCCATAAACAGGTTTTGACATAAGATTAAACAGCAATGCAGATCTCAGTTTGTTGTGAAGAAAATCTACTTTCTTGCACCTCTCATGTGTCACAGAAAGGATGGGAAAATTAGACAGAAAGTCTCAAACAGCAAGAGATCCATACCTCAGGCAATATGCTCCGCAAGACTAAGAATCTTGACATGCTTTTTCTTCCTTAGCTCGTGTGGGACTGGCCCAAATACTCTGGTTCCAATTGGCTCGCCTTGCTTGTTGACAAGCACCACAGCATTGTCATCGAACTTGACCTCACTCCCATCACAACGGCCCCGCGGCATGGCAGCACGCACGACAACGCCATAAACAACATCTCCTTTCTTCACTTTGCCTCCAGGTTGGGATTCCTTTACTGATGCAACTATCGTGTCCCCCAGTCTTGCCCCTTTCTTCCCCTTCAGAGCTTGTATGCACATCACTCGTTTTGCCCCTGAGTTGTCCACAACTTTAAGATTGGTCCTCATCTGTATGAAAGTCCTGCATTGCGGCACAAGTGAAAAAAAAGAAAAAAAGAAAAAAGAGAATTCAAAAATGGATATATTAAAGTAGGTCACGACGAGTCACGACATCAAAGATTATTGGAGACTAATCTCATTGCTCTGTCGTCAAGAATTGGTTAATTAATGACTAACTATTCAAATTAACCAGTGATTCTGACCAAGGGAGCCTTGAGACCATGACATACATGGTGTTTTATGTTTTAAGGATATCAATCTAGTTAATTAACTAAATTCATCTTGGGCCAATTGAAGAAATATGGCAAGCAATTAAGAATTTCATCAGATAAATAACCAAGAAAAACCCTTCAATTTGATGGGCATTTATGAGCGGCCTCTTCTTACATGCACTTAAAAGAAACTCAAAAGTTATACTCTTGGCATTACCCAGTCATGGTATAAAATTCGATCTATAAACAAGACCTTATCCCAACTATTTCAGGTTGTCAACCTGGCTGAATTTACACCATTTCAGCATGCCAATAGACGTTAAAATCTATGTTAACCCATGCACAGTACTTCACAAGAACATACAAAAACCACCCTCTAAAGTTTCCACTTTTGAAAGACCATATAACACAAGTTTTCACTCACTTTCCGAAATAAATTAAAATATATTATCATGACTAAATAAAGAAACCAAAGGGAAAATATAATTTTTGCAAGGCCTTGCCAACAAGTATTTAAGCAATGATAATGAGTCGCGCCAAGAAAGCCAGCAAAAAAAAAAATCAGCTCCTTGCATCAAAGATAAATGCATGAAAACCAAGGGCCACAATACAATGAGAAATGAAACGTTAAAGGTGAAAGAAACATCAAATAAAGAAACACACTGACCTGAAACAAGAACTCACTGCATGACATCTCATGTGGCGTTCCCTGTACACCAAGATTGTTGCCAAGGCCTCCCAACAATGAACGCGCAGCTAATTTTGTTGACCAACACATTAAATAAAACACAGACAGCAATCAGGGATTAGGAAACATGTGTGCAAGACAAACTACAGCATAAAAGGTAAAACCATAGTTGTCAAATCGAGATTCGTATCGTGAATCGAATCGAATCGTGAATCGTAAAGATTCGGTCACTTTTTTAAAATTACTTAAAAATATATATTTACACATTTAGATGTTAAATATATCTTATGAATATGAAATATTTAGACTTAAATCAATGAAAATGTTATTTTGAATGATAACCACGTATTTTAATAGGTAAGAAGTTAACAAAATTCTTATGTAAGATCACTATCATACTTTTTTTCTTTTTAGATATTTGTTATCAACCATTCTTAATAAAGGTAATAACCATATAAACAAATTATCAATTTCCAAAATAACAATAATTAACAACAATATTAATATTTGGACAATAAGCATACATACTTTTCTAAGTAATAGTGAACAAATAATAAGAAAGAATTATTTAGCATATTTTATTGTAAAGCCTAAAACAATTTCAAAGGTATAACTGACTTCACATATGTAATATTCAATTATATTCAATTTAATAAAATAGCAATAGATAATTCATAGTGTAACTTTAATCTTAAATATCTTTAGAAGATATATTATGATTTTTTAAAGGGGAAAAAAATGAGAAGAAATGTTAAAAATATGTTGGGTCTGACTGAATCTGATTGGATTTTATTGAAAACTTCATGATCACTAAAATAATAACAAATTATGTATATATGTTGGTTATTTTGATATTAAACGCTATTAGACGTTGTATTATGTCTTTTTCACTAAAAATATGGAGAAAGAAATAGTTGAAAATATGTCAGACACAATAATTTAAAAAATTAAATGAATCGTAAAAAGTGAATTGAATCGTGAATCGATTGTGAAATTGTGTGATTCATTAGAGATTTACTTCCAAAATCGTAAAAAGTGAATTGAATCGTGAATCGATTGTGAAATCGTGCGATTCATTAGAGATTTACTTCCAAAGTGGATTCATCCATAGATTCGTATCGATTTTGCAAAAAATTCGAATCGAATCGTGAATCGAATCGCGAATCGTAAGATTTTGATAACAAAGAGATTCACCTATAGATTCGTATCGATTTTGCAAAAATTATGAATCGAATCGCGAATCGAATCGCGAATCGTAAGATTCTGATAACAGAGGGTAAAACTAATTTCAATTTTAATTTGTGAGAAAAGGGGTATTAGCCACAAATGCAGTTCATGCCACAGTCCAGGTCACACAATGCATCCAAACATAAAGTTAACCCAACATCGACCACTAGACAGATGATCCAATCTGTACTATGCTGGTATGTTTCTGCATCCAATCACCCACATTAGCCAGAGAGTAATGAAATGACATCACCTGCAGAAGCCATCTCACATCCACATCATGTGAAGCAATTGTTTTCCCAAGATCAAAGAAGCCACATGAGTAAGCATGCAATCAGTTGAACTGAAGCATGCCCATGCTCATGTTCTGCAACTGATTCTGATGGGATGAATTTCAATAGACTACACAATGAGTTGTGGTGGCCTCTACTCTAGATTTCATGCTCTCAAGCAATTTCTATAGTAGCTTGATTTCATCAATTTAGGCACACAACAGATCTCTACATACCGTTAAGCAAAGCTTATTAGGTCTATTGAATCTATAATCTTTGGTCGATATACACATCTTGCTAGGTTAATTAACAGTTCAGTTAGTCCCAAGAAGCATCAGGCAAAGCTTGAACAAGTAGAGCAGAGACGCTGAACTGGGGTAGAGACCAAGCTGAGCGTAACAATTTCAACGAAGAAAATATTTCATAGCTGAGTTCTAACCTTTGAACCAGTGGCCCCAATTACTAGAACCCAAAGAACAAACTTTCATGAACAAAAATATTTGAAGTACAATAGACTAAGAAATTAATTACTAGAACACTTGAGGAAATGAAATTAACTAACGATAACTGTCACACTAAATGTAATGTCAACTAACTCAAAAATACAAACCAGTCAGTCACCACTTCAAAAACTATAAAGCTCACATACCATGCAATGATTTGGAAGGGAAAGCTGCAGCCATCTTTGCACCTAATTGCTGTGCCAATAAAACCAACAGTCCCCAATTTTCCCTGTCAAAGTGAAATACATGCCAATTACATCAAATCTTCAATTTTTACAATGAGAAATACATTCATAAAAATAGTCATATTTACAAAAACAGTACTAATGGCATTTCTTCCAAAGACAACATGTGCTCTATATGCTTGGGTTCATTAACCACAATTTAACAAAAAGGGTCAAGACATGATCCTAGAAATCTTATCCAAAAGCAAAATCATTAACAAAAATAAAGAATTTGTTTAAAATGAATTGTTGCCTGAAATTGAACAACCATGATTGAAAGTATGAGAATAAAAACAAAGAAATCCTCATATTCTCTTCTTTTCTCTGGTCAACTAGGTTGTGCTTGGTTCATAGATTTGGGTAGCAATTTGGAAAGGGAAAAGATGCGTGAAATGTGAATGAAATATAACTACATTTCACACACTTTTTCTCTTTCCCTTTCTAAATCCCTATCCAAATCTATGAACCAAATAGAGCCTAAAGGGGTGTGTAATGTGAATGAAATATAGCTATATTTCACACACCTTTTACACACTTTCTCTCTTTATTTTCCAAATCCCTAACCAAATCTATGATCCAAACATAGCCTAAGGCTCAGTTTGTTTAGAATAAAATAGGTAGAAAGTGAAAGAACGAGAAAAAAAAAATTAACTTATATGAGTTTGTTTAGCTTGAAAGTGGTAGAAAGTATAAGAAAACTAATTTTCTTGTACAACCCATCTTAGCATTGTAATTAATTTTTTATTTCTTGCTAAAAATACAAGAAAACACAAGAAAAATTGAATGTGTGAGTTATCTATAACTAAACTTTTAGATTTTTCTATATTTTTCTTACAAAATTTTCATCTTAATCAAATGCTTGTAAGAAAATATATTTTCTTTTCTTTCACTTCAGTTTCTTTTACTTTCACTTTCTGCCAAATTTTCTTTCTAATCAAACAGAGCCTAAAGAAAAATCCTCATCTTCCCTATTATGTTTAAAGACGTTTTTTCCAAAAATATTTACTCATGACAGAGAAAAATCATTTTAATAAATAATCACTCTGATAGGCCAAAGAATTACACTAATAATCCCTCTTTTCATAATTTAATATCATTGTAACAAAGCAATTTGTAGTACAATAACAAATTATAACATTAACAACCAAAAATGAAGTCAATATCACAGTATGCACTCAAAAAACAGGTTTTAGCAATTGATGTGGCATATAATGGGTTATAATGATGTTTGTAATATCTCCTATATAAGGAGTGTCATTTGGTCTTGTAAGATAAGAAGTTTTGAATATAACAGAAATATATTCCTTCTTCCTCATATTTTCGAAGTTCTTCTTCCTCATATTTTCGAAGTCATTGTAACAAAGCAATTTGTAGTATAATAACAAATTATAATATTAACAACCAAAAATGAAGTCAATATCACAGTATGCACTCAAAAAACAGTTTTTAGCAATTGATGAATAGTTCATTCATAACAAAACCAAACATTCAATATATATGTAAATTAAGACAAAGATGAAAAATAAACTAGATGATGCATTCTCATTAATTCAATTTACGATCTGATTCGAATTTGAAAGCTCTAATCGAAACAAAAGGCTGATATGTTGGGAGTATAAGAAAATGATATGAGAAAGAAGAATCTGAACTTACAAAGATAGAAGCGTTGAGAAAGAGACAAACAGACCTTGAATCCTCCTCCTCAGTCTGCGATGACGGCAGTGGCGGTGGCGGTGGCGGTGGCGCTACAGCAGAGAAACCCTGAAACTGCTGCGTACTTGGAAGAAAGAGTGAATGACTGCTGAAAGTGTGTGCATCTTCAGATCCATTAATTTAAGGGTATACAACCCGGCCCAAAAGGGTAAGTTAAGTATAAGAAAATGATATGAGAAAGAAGAATCTGAACTTACAAAGATAGAAGCGTTGAGAAAGAGACAAACAGACCTTGAATCCTCCTCCTCAGTCTGCGATGACGGCAGTGGCGGTGGCGGTGGCGCTACAGCAGAGAAACCCTGAAACTGCTGCGTACTTGGAAGAAAGAGTGAATGACTCTGCTGAAAGTGTGTGCATCTTCAGATCCATTAATTTAAGGGTATATAACCCGGCCCAAAAGGGTAAGTTATAGGTCCAACCCATATATCCATATGCATATGATGTCAAACAAAATAAAACACCCTAGATGGTGTGACTTATGTATCAGTAAGCCTATAATGTGTTCAGAAATGAGACAACAAATAATCTTTCAATGTAAATTAATAGAAACCATATAGAGGCATTCCTAAAACAACTCTAAATTAATCAAATCAGATTGGAAATAAAGAGCATCTATGAATAAAAAACAAAAGGCCAAAAGAGCATCTATGAATAAAAAACAGAAGCCCAATTTTATAAACACAAAGAAAATAATCAGATTTTTAATTAAGAGATTATTATGTTTAAGGCAACATATTTGAAACTTATCCGAGCCAAGTTCATTAATTGAAAAAATATATATTCAAAAGTCTTTGTACAATAACTTATTTTATATTAGCCAAAAATTATAAGGAGAATCATTGAACAGTGGGATAGGGAAAAAAAAATTATACAAACATTGGAGGTACTAAAACATTGCTGGAGTAAAAACTCTAAGTTGCACCCCTCCATATTTTTTTTTGGGGGGTCTCACTATTCAATAACTCCCCCAAAATTATATATATAAATATATATACAAACATAATTTGCAAAAATGGGTATGTACTATAATAAGAGATGAAAACCCTCATACCATGTCTAATTGTCCAATTATACATAAACAATTTGTCAATAACACTCCTAGAGGTAATGGCTACTTCCACCAATGCCTAATATGGATGATACATCATATTGATTAAACGATTCAATGGCATCAAAAATATTATTTTGTAGTTGAAGCTATTTATACATCACAAACTATCATTATTTATGTTTGAATCAGATTTTATTTTACTGTCAGTTGAATCAGATTTTACTTACTATCGACTGAATCAGATTTTACAAATATAGTGCAAGCCAGGGAGAGTAGGGATGGCAATGGGGTGGATATTAATTTCCCATCACCATTCCCCTATAATAAATCTTTCCCATTTCCCATGGGTACTACCCTCCCCATCTCCTAATGGGTTTGGATTTTCCCCAATCCAACCTGACCATTTTTTTTTTTAAAGGTTCACAACCAAAACTAAATATACATTCAATCTTATTTTATTTTATTTGGCTCAACAATAAAATCAAATACACATTAATTAATTAATTAAAAAGTTTGTTTTAAAATAATCAAATATATAATTTTGAGACAATCAAATAAGTTTTTAGTAATTAAAAAAAAATGTAGAAGAACCTGTCTGAAGAAGGTGTTATAAGACTCAGATCAAATTGCATCAGGGCATAAATACGGAATTGCATTAGGGCATAAATAACCCATTTCAAAAAACAAATGATAGCATTTAACTCTGTTCAATGAAATTTGACAACTGCACAAGCTAGGAGATATTGTACACTTTGTTGTTTAGGGTCTTTATAAAAGCACATTCTCTAACAATGATATATATAAGTGAGCAATTAGATCAGTGTACCATTGGATATTAGATGAAGGCACAAAATCTATATAATTCAAATTACTATGTAATATTATCACATTTCTACATCATGTATGATTGAAGGCACAAAATCTATATATTTCAAATAAATATGTAATATTATCACATTTCTACATTATGTAATGGTTGAGTTAATATTCAAAATACCACTGTTAAATATGTAATATTAATTCAAATCTATGTTTTTTAAACATTTTGCCAATATGGTTAATCTTGATCAAGTAAATATGTTAAAATCATGTTAGGCTTATGCAAATCACTATTACATTTGGTGTCAAAGGATAACATTATGAGATCTAAGGAACATTCACTGCTTTCAGCCCAGTGCTTTCATCACTTCGTTACTCAAGAGTCAACCCTCTCCAATTCATTCTTTCCCCCATTAGTTTGAGCTCCTCTAGGATATTTCCTAATTTAGTTTCAGAAAGCATTTTCTTCTTTTCTCCTGAATTTTCTATCCAGCCTCTGCTGGTTGTGTATGCCAGATTATACCCTGAAAAGCAATCGTGATAAAATTTCAACAAATTTTTGTGACTCCAATTTTCACCTAAGAAAGATTTTTTCTACATCATCATTTCTGATGACCCAACTATCAAATTTCTTTTTGCCACTCTCACCTACTTTTCAAATTCTTTATACATTCTGCAACATCTTATCTGCTTTGAAGTGGAGTTTTGCTTTGGAATGATTTGAAATTTACAGCTACGTCATGACCACATGCCCATATATGCAGACCAGGATAGTAAACCAAAGAAACATACAAATCAAAAGTTACAATTCCCTTTAACAGCTGAAATGAATATTTCTTCAAGTTCCATCTACCCAACTGGATCAGCTGCGTTCAATAGCTATTGTTCATTGACTGCCTATGTTCAACTGGCTTAGTCATACATGTCAACCACAGCTATGCCTCTACGTTTTGGATTCAATCAACCTTCAAAAACCTTGGGACATACGGATATGATTAAAATGCAAGTGTCTTACTATATTCTTCTTAGAAACGCTTAACCACTTCCCTTTATGTGTGTTCCAAAATACTGGTACTTTCTTAACGAAATGTACAAAATGCAGCTTTTTGTCTCTTTCAAACAATGAAAATGACTCTAATTTGTCACGCAGTCAAACAAATTGCACATCCAAATTCTAGTCTACTGCAGCTTTTTGTCTCTTTCAAACAAACACACAAACACATGGTGGGTGTGCAAAAACCACTTACAAAATGCACACAATTGCAAATTCTCAACAGAAATACTAGTTATCGTACTGATTTCACAACTTCACCTACAGACTTAAAACCAAATAAAACCCCTTAAAGTTATTGGCAAAAAAAACGTGAAAATTCCAACAAACTAGCCCTGAATTAAGAATCAACATAACCCAATAGGCACCAAGAAAAATGAGTTCAAATAGTAGAAGAAAAGTGGAGTACCAAGTTGGCGAAGAACTTCTGATACAGCAGAGAGGGTTCAAAAGCGAAAGTTCTTCTTTTTCTCTGCAGAGATTTTCGATTCCGAAACCGACAAAAAGTGTGGGTCTTGGGTTGATTCTTGAAAGAGTGAGAAGAGGCTGAATTGATGGAATGTGGAGCAGCTAAAGGAACTAAAAATGATTCATAAAAATCTACTAAACAAACGCAGAGAACGAGAGAGAAAGAGGGAACGAGAACCCTCAACACAACATATGGGAAATGGGCGGGTGCCCATTCCCGACCCATATCATATGCATCACTTAATTAATCCGATGGGAAAAAAGCAAAAAATTCATATATTTGAGTTGCCAAAAACAAAAAGTTACGAAAGATAAAAAATTTAATTTTTAAAAATTTAAATTTAAAAAATTAAAATCAAACATACTGATTTATACCTAAGGTACAAAACGATGTAGTGTTGTGTTCGTCTTATGTTTTTTTGCGACAACAACTAAATATTTATGAAATTTTTTTTTTTTGATAGGCAGGAATGAAAGGGGCCAAAACAGGAAAAAGGAACAGTGGGGAATAAAAGGATAAAAAAAAAATGATAGGCAGGAATGAAATCGGCTAAAATGGAAAAATAAAAAATAAAAAATAAATAAAAGAAAAGTGGAAAATAAAAGGATGTAGGGTAATTGAGACGGTATATTTGCCAAAGTAAAAAACTAACTTTTGAGATGGCAAATTCTCTTGACTCAAATAATTATATGAAAATTTTTTTTATTTTATTTTTAAGACAGTCATTTTTGCTGATGTCAATTCAATACTTTTGCGATGACAATTGTTACCAAAGCAAATTATTATACTCAAATACTCATTTTTCTTGTAGTGTGGTGGTCAGTGGTGGTGACCGAAGGTGGTAGGTGAGAGGAGAAACTAAAAATTTATTTTAAAAACAAGTGAAAATAAGACAATATTTTAGTATTTTGAATTTCTTATATTCAAAATGTTAAGTTATATATATGTGAAAGGTATTTAAAATAAAAATTAATTATCCCTAAGGGCCATCCAAGTCAGTAAGTGGGTAAGCAAGCTCCCCGTGTCATTGATGATGAGTTCAAATCCCATTCTTTTGGTTAATTTATTAATTGACCATATTTGATTTGATTTTCATAAATTTATATTAATTTTTTTAAAATAACTAAAATTTGGTTTCATGAAAAAATAAAAAATAACAATTAAAAGTATTTATCATTTTTATATAGCTTTATCACTTTGGAGGGTAAAAATAAATTTTAAAATAAAATTTTGATATTTATTTTTATCAAATTAATTTATATATATATATATATATTTTTTAATTTTAAAAATCATAGAATGAAACCAAATAGGGCCAAAATCTCTTAATTTTGAATTTACTTTCATGGGTAGATCCAAAAGATTTTGTCTAACAATGGTGGGCCCATATGAGGTGGATAGGCCCATATGCAACTGGGCTTCCTCACTAACAAATTAGATGTGAGCCAAACCTTTATTGGCCCGTTTGGTAGAGCTGTGGGAATACCTTAACAGATTATAACTTATAACTGTGAACATATTTTTTCTTTTTTCTTTTTGGGTGAAATCATTTATTTTTATTTATTTTTGGATACATGGGAGACTACTGACAAAGTTAAAGTCTTTTTTTGTGACAAAGTTTGAACACATACTCAAAATTGAAAAATATTAATCAAAGACAAAGCAAAAATAAGTCAACTTATTAGCTGCAGCCAAATGAAGTCACAAAATTAATTACAAAAATATCGAGATTGATCTCAGTAAAACAATCTTTTTAATGACGAATTTCAATCATTTGGTATGTATAATTAGAATTATTTTTTGTGATTAGGGCAAGTTAGGGAAGTTATAATAATAGCTAAGAAGTCACTAAAATTTTTAAAAAGTCTAAGAATTATACAAAAAATGTGAAAAATTTTCTCATTTATATTTTTCGCACATTTTTTTTTATAAAAAGTCAAAAAATATTTCTAAACATACTAATTTTCTTCACCTTATATTTTAACTAAAAAACTAAAAAAAAAATTCAAATAACCTATTCCTAAACCAATATGTATCTCTAAATGTGCTAAATCATTTTTAGATATTGAAAATCAAAATTGTCAAAATTTAACCAAGCCAGCTCATTTAACCTTGGAATGACTGATTGTGGAAATTTGCCTACCAAGGTTTGACTCAAATTCTAGTTAAGCCCACCAAAGTGTTAGATAATAGTCAAAACTCCAAAAACTTATATTAGTGTCTAAGTGTGTTGGCCTAAAAATTGAAAAAAGCTAATAATTTTTTGTTCTTCATCCAAAAAAGTTAGTTAATGTTGAAATGTACCTTCCTCATTACCACTTTGGTGGACTTTGATAAGATGCTCAAATTTGGCTTGAAGTGAAGAACACATTGGAGAAAACAATAAAAACAAACAAACAAAAGAAGAAAAATACAAGTGAGTAAATCTTGAAATGAAATATTTAATTTTATTTCCAATGAATGAATGTTAATAGAGATTCTACTTCTATTTGCATTTTTATTTTTTCATAATTACTTTTACTATCTTTTTCAATAGTTTACAATTTTTAAACAATAATACAAGAAAAGTATTAGAGACTCACAATTTAACTTTCATAATTTACTCATAATAACATGATAATAAAGTTGAGATTTATAAAATTGAATTCATGACAAATTAAAATTGACACATAATCTATCATGTCAATATAGATAAAACTATGAGACTCAAATTATAGGTCTCATTTTTTTTAATCCAAAATACAACAAAAAAAACTTATTGATATGCACACACATGTTAAAATATCTTCAAATATTTATATAATTTTTTATTACACACCCATTTATACAAAATATACAAACATTTTAGCGTCCCATGCTACTTTAACTTGAAAGTTAAATCTTTTTTTAAAAATTTAATAATGTATCAGTCTATTAGACTATTTAAAGTGATTCTCTCTCTCACTCATATTTTTTTTTAATCATCAATCAATAATATTTTTTACATATCATTGAATCTAAAAAATAAAATTTTAAAAATAGACTTATATATTTTTTAATCTAGTACAATGTTAAAAATGACACGTGAAGGTTAAAAAAACAATAGTAAATATATATTACATGTTCTCGAGAATTAGGTTGGATCGGGTAATCTCTCATCCATTACACGTCTTCACTTAGACGAATTGAGAAAAATCAATTCGCATCCGTCCATTTAATTAGCGGATGAGGATTGAGCGGGCAGTACGTGTGGGTGGATGCATATTGATTTGGCAGTATAAACTTTTTTCCAGACTACTTTTTGTTGGAAATTGTAGAAAAATTCTGGGTAAAACTAAAATTTTTTCTCAAGTTTGGTCTATTTTTTAGGTGGGCCCCGAGTGTTGATTTACTCGGGTCAAAGTGGTAACGCGTTCTATGCCGCGTTGTGATTCACGTGGTATATTTAGTTGCTCAAAACCATTACCGAGTGAATGGGAAATTGAAGCCAAAGTGTGCTCCATGGAAATGGAGTTTTGGTGGAAATTCCTTAAGGTTGTAAATTGGCTTGTCCCACATTGATTTGGTGAGAAGTTTTGAAAGGGTTTATAAGGCTTGGGTGAGATACTTGGGGTGTGCCCCAAGGGGTACCCAAGTGTTTTAGAGGGAGAGGTTATGGGCTAGACCCATTGGACCCAAAAATCACCACACGCGTGGGTGCGTGGTGTGTGGTTGGGTTGGGCTTCTAACCTTTTTGGGCCAAAAACATTTGAATTTAATTTTATTTTTTGGTAAAATAAAATCCAGAATTCAAATTAAACTGATTTGGATTTTCTGTAATCCAAACAGGGCTCTTCCCGTTTTCAAACAGAAATAAACTAGTTTGGAATTAATGCACACCCAAACAGGTCCCTTCCCATTTTTTGCTATCTGTTTGAATTATCAACAGATTCAAATCTGTTTGAATTCAAAACCAACAGGTATCATACCTGTTCAATTCAAAACCAAAAGCCACCTTTACATCTTTGGATTCACTGAAAATAGTCCTATCCAGACATCTAATCCCATGAAAAAACAAACACAGGATACATATCCAATCCGACCAAATAGTCCAGGGGATTCACAGTCCCAGGACTCAAGTCCGATGGATTCTAATCCCCCCTTTTCCAGTCCGTCCAATCAAACACACCCTTAGTGTGTTCGCAAGGCAAACAATTTGTAGTGCTGCTATTGTTTGTGGTAGATCATTTCATCCTGGGAGATAGACGTCCAAATTCTGAAAGCACCGTGGAAAGGACGAATCTGTCTTAAGGACACAGTGTCAAACACTGGACTTGATCAGTTTATAATTCGAAGAAATTAAATCAAGTAAGTTATTTAATTAATTTTTGTGTTATTGTTATTTATTTAAATCAGATTTTAATTTTGTTTTTGTAACAAAATAAAATTTATTTATTTTATTTATTTATTATTTTGAGTTTGATTTTTGTAATCAAACAAATTCTCTCATTTTCTTTATTTCTTTAAATTCTAATTGTTGTTTTGTACACAATAGAATTAAATCTTTTAAATACAGTGAAGATTGTCCAACACTTTTTTCAATAATTATTTATTATTTTGTGTCCAAAATTTTTTATTCTTTATTTTTTTATAATAAAATAAATGGCCAACTTTTATATTTTATAAATAGTATAATTACTAAATAAAAGGTTATTTTTTAACAAATAAAACATAAAAATATAATTTCATTTTCTTAAGAGTGTTGGCAGATTAGTGTGACTCGAGTGACCTCTCATTCACCATTTGTTCAACCTATGGTGGATTGAGAAAAATATATTATATCTATCCGTTCGAATTATTAAAATTGTCCATTTTATAGCGGATTGATTCAAATCATTTAATTTTAAGAGATCGGGTGCATGTTATATTAAGAGGCAAAAATGGTAGTAGGGTTCTCTTACCGTGTGTGCCCCTAGATATCATATATACTTTTATCATAAAATGTGTAATTTTTTAACAAATTGATGCAATAAAATATATCATAATTAAATTATAAATTTTTATAATATTAAGGGTAAATTAGAAATACACCTCTTGAGATTTGCTTAAAATATGAATTATCCCTTATGGTTGAAAAATTACAAATACCTTCTTGTCCGAATTTTTTATTTAACATAATTAATTGAAAAAGAAAAATTTCTAATTGTTCATCTATACAATAATAAAATTATCTGAATTATTAATTGAAATAAAATTTTAACCTTATTAAAAACTGTTAATTAA